GTGATCTGGAACTCTGTTTTTGAGGCTTGTTTATGTGTCTTCTCATTTCCACGGGGCAGGGGGGGTGCTTCTGGCGCCCACGCGGCTCACCTTCTCTGCCCTAGGAGCTTGGGATGGCAGTGGGGGAGCTTCCTTCTGGGTGCTGGGACCGGTTCACCTTCTTGGCCCTGGGAGCCTGGGATGGAGGCGAGGGAGCTTCCTTCCGGGTGATGGGACCGGCTGAGCTTCACTGCCTTAGGAGCCTGTGATGGGGGTGGGGAGCTTCCTTCCGGGTGCTCTTTCAGGTATTTTCTTAATGTCTTTTCTCCCCTGTTCTCTGATGTTCCCTTCATCAGTAATCATATTTTTTAGGCAATATTTTTTCTTGAGATGTAGTACTTACCTATTTTTTCATGTTGGTTGTTACTTAATAAGCTTACTTCCTTTGCCTAAATTATAGGTGAAAACTAGCTGACCAGTTCACCAAGTATTAAAAAAAGTAGCACATTATTTCTAATGTTGATGTGGAATACTCAGATAATCATTCTCTCCAGAATAAAATGCCTCTTTATGAGATCTGGACTACATTTTTCTAGTATATTAATGATTATACAAATATTTGTTAAATTTGAAACCTAAAACCTTGCTAAAATTGATTACTTAGATTAATATTCTTTATCAGGTCTGTCACTCCATAAAATAAGGCAATTAAATTAATTTGACCAGATTTGTTCTTCACAAAGCATGTTGATTATTAATTTGTAGGTGGCTTCAAGTAGATTTTGTGATCATTTTTCTTAGATGTAAAAGTGAAATTTGAAAGTCTAATTTGTACACCTTCCTTTCTTTTTTCCTCCCTCCCTTAAAAATTTTTTTTTTTTTCAATGTGGTCAAACTGGCTCGTTTTAATCTTAAATGCTTACCATTCCCTCCCTGAGAAGTGGTAGCTGATAGGTACATGATCTGGAGCAATTCATTTAATACAGTTACTTGTCAATATATTTGTTATACTAAGGAATAGAAGTCTTCAGGGCCAGTTTATGTGACTGCTTTAGATTAATCATTTCTTCTAATCTATTCTCCCTCTTAGCTCTTTGCCCTTTGACTGCTACTGGGCTTTCTCTTTGCTTAGTTTTCTTTTCTTAATTATAAGAGGTAAAGTTAATAAGAGCCTTTTCTTTTTATGAAGTCTGTCAGCTATTATCTGTTTTCTTTTCTCTTTAAAAAAGGGACAATTCTTTATGTCAATACATTTTTTAACATGCTTTTCCTTTTCTTTGTAGATACTATTTTCAGATGTCAGGATAGTGGAAAATGTGCTGGTTAAGAATAAGGACCTGGGTTCCAACTTCTGGCCTTTCACTAATTATGTAGCCTTAGGCATGTCACGTAAGCTTTACAGTCTTATTTTCCTCGTAAAAATGAAAATATTATTGTAAGTCCCATCCTAACCTGTATTTCTCTGTGGTATTCATATTCTGTTTTGGTAAATTTATACCTCGCATTTTCACTATTATTTTTTGGTACCAGGGAGATTAAAGTTGGGACCTTGCGCTTGCGCAGCGGGCGCCGGAACCACTGAGCTAAATCCCCGGCCCACATTTTCACTATTTCTTTGTACCTCTCAGTTTGTCTTCCTATTGTTATTAATTTTCTCATATTGTTTACCACCAAAATTTCCTCTTACATATATTTGGTAATACAGAGCTATGTTGTTTTTTTTTTTAATTAGAAAGCATTAGCATAGGGTGTGTTTTAGAATTCTAAACTTTTCAGATTTTAGAAAGGTAATATAGTATCTATGATACATGTTTCATAACACCAAAATCAAACACATTTAATATTTCAGCAGGGTATATTTCTATTCATATTGAATGGAATATATACAGACTATAATCAACCCTGTGTGTCATTTCAGGTTAGTTTTGCCATCATCAGTGAGTTTGGGCCCAAACTTAAAACAATTTGTTTTGTTTCTTTTTAGAACTGTTTTAATTTTAGAATTGTGGATTGTTACATTTACTGTTCCTAGATGCCTTTTCTTATAACTTCTCATATTACCTTTCTGATTTATTTCCTACCTGACTGAAAAAGTTGAGTTTCAATTCACTTTTCTTGTTTATTAACTTTTCTTTTAAATCTAGAACCAATTTTGTGTTGATTTGGGCCAGGGATTTTATCCAATCCTCCCTTTGCCTTTAGATCTCCTCCTAACTTCTCCATGTTTGTAAGAATCAAAATCATACTGCCTTCCTACAAAAATCCTTAAATTTTTTAGACAAGTCAGTTGTCTTCCCACTGTCTCTTAGAGAATCTCAGCTTAATTCAATCTTCCCTTACAGCTGAGTCCTAGGGTACTTTATTAACCATCCTTTAGTTTGCAATTTGCTGACCTCCATTTTTTGCATCTTGTAACTTTGCTGCTATATTCAGAAAATACCACAAGATGGTGCCCAAATAGCAGGGAATTTCTCGCTCACATTTCCAAGTGCCACTCAGCTTCCTGTCAAACTTCTTTGCCATTAGAGTTAAATAGAGCTCAGAATATTGTAAGAGACTCTGTTGATTTTGAAAGATATGTCAAAATAGCAAGTTAACTTTAAATTCACCTTGATTTTTGTAATTCACCTGGTTTGCAGTCTTTCATAGGCATTATCAATTTGCTTACAAAGAAGCATTTAGGCTTATTGTCTGCATTTTATGGTATCAAGATAAGCAACTGGCCATAAAATTAGAACTAGTATTATGGAACCTAACAAAGTGTTTGGGCTACCAAACCATATATTTGTTTTGTTTTGTTGGCTTGGCTTGGAGATGGTGTCTCATTATGCTATGTAGGCTGGTCTTGAACTCTTAGACTCAAGTAATCTGTGCCACCTCAGCTTCCCAAGTAGCCAAGACTATAGGCACATGCCACTGCTTCCAGTTTTTATTTTATCAGGTCTTGGTAAGGGTAATATGGAAAAGCAAGTTTTGTATTAAAAATTGAAGCTGGCTTATTCAGATTTGTACATTTTTTGGTTAGTCAATTTTTCCTCCATTATAAATGGTCATTTTTCCATATTGGAATTGTATATTCCAGTATATTTCTGGCTTCTGAAAGTATTCTGCAAAATACTAAGATTTGGTTTACTTCTGAAATATTTTTCTAATAAAGTTATAGTAGGAGATATGAATAAAGCTTAGTGGTTATTTGCATTTAAGCAACAAAATAGAAGAATATTAAGACATATTCTTGATTCCTCTTGAAATATAAAAATCGTACACAAGGAATAATGGGCAATTATATTGAAGCACTGAACACAGCTGAAAAGTAGAATTAAGATAAATATATATCAGGAAAACTAGAATCTAGGTCCTGCTAGCCTTGACTTATTCCATATACTTTAATTTCTGTGAGCCCCAAATCTTTTATTACATAAAAGATAGTGGGAGCTGGAAGTATAGCTTAGTGGTAGAGTGCATCCCTCATATGTGCGAAGTCCTGGATTTGACCAGAACCATGCACACGTGTACCAAAAATACACCTATAGTAGTGTCATTTCTGCTTACAAAGCTGGTAAAAAGTTAAAGATACCAACTTGTGGAATCAAGTAAAAGGTGACCAGGAAATCCACCTGTCTTATGATTAAAGATTGCTTTGTAATTTGGATTAAGGGAGACTCACTGGTTGTATGAAGTATACATCCACATTTAAGTGTGCCTTTTTTTTTTTTTTTTTAAAAAAAACAGAGCGAAAACGTTTGGAAGCCAAGCAACGAGAAGACATCTGGGAAGGCAGAGAACAATCTGCAGTTTGAACATCATTCAATGAAAAGGAAAACTCCATGAATTCAAAAAGTATTTCCATTGCCTCAGATAAGAGGATCCTTCCAGAACTGTGTACATGCAAACATGCACGTTAAAGAAAGTGAAAAGGCTATCAAGACAAAGATTGACTAGGTATAGAAAGAAGATAGACTCTTGTCTTCACTCCTAAATGCAGTTCTTTGTTATTGCCCTACTGTGGTAGATATAAAAGGGAGCTGTCAACTGGGAAGAAACATGGAACATGCAACTTCCAAGAGTCCCCTGGACAAGACAAGTCATGTTAGCATGGATCACACTTCCCAAAATGTCTAAAGCAAATGCAGAGCAGAACAGAGGATTCAAATCTGCAATGATGGGAGGTTTAGGCCCTGCAAAGGCAGAGCATTCCTTAGTACCTTACAAAGCTGAAAACAGCAATATTGGATGCAGGAAGAGGGGACATATAGGGAGCAATTAATACAGATAGAACAGTGCTGTACTTGGCATACATTGACTCTATACTGCCGGTCCCAGAACTCCAGAGTTGGTGAGCTTTCACAGATGTGTGTATATGGATCCAGAGTTGGTACTGAACTCCGTGCCTGGGGCTGCTCCAGTGCACAGCAACCAGGAACCTGAGAGCTTCTTTCCTCAAGCTAGTCTTAAGGAGTTGTGTGCCATTTCTACTTTAAGCAGTAATGTATTGTAAGAGGGAAACATTAAAGGTCATTTTATGACATGTATCACTATGATATTTATCAATTTTTTTCTTTCCCACAAAGAAATGAGAGCAACTCAGTTCTTCATGCCTATGAGGTTATATGTAGTTTAAGTGGATCTGTTGGTTTTATTGAACCCAGTGAGTGGAATCTCTCTGCCCCAGAGTATATTTTTAAAATGACTATCCTAGGATTCTCAATGTTTTTGGAAAGTATAATACCCCAAAGAAATGGTAGTGCTGGGTCTTAAGGTGCTGACATGGCAAAACATGACACTGGCCTTCTGTCTTAGTCCTGACTCAACTGTCCCTGTGCTGTTCCAGTCATAGAGCCCTCTAACTGTTCTTAATATTGTTTGTCTCATTCTTGGTCAGTTCTTCCAATGTCCCATGTTCCTATTAAGTGTCTCCATGCCGGGAAGTTGAGTAAGTCATTGTTGTGACCCTTTGTCTACTACTACTTAGTCTTTGAATTGTATTTATCTGTCTTCATGGTAGGAAATGCAAGGGATTATTGTACCATGGCTTCATACTGAATGGTATATCTCTGAAATTTATGGGTGTTTGCGTTGCTGGGGACACACCTAGGGTCTTGCACGTGCTAGGTGAGCACTGCTGAGCTACTTTTCAAGCCCATGTTTTCATTCTTCAAAGCTAAGTGTGGCCTTGGGAGTTAGAGATGACTGTTCTTATCACTTGCTTGTAAGGGTGCTTCCCCTTTGTGACTGCTCTTTAGCTTCTAAAGGCATTGTTAATGGTAACATACAGCTCTGTGTTTATTACCCAGTTTTCTTATAACCCTCATAATTTCAAGGACTTATTTTTTTCTCATTCTGAGGCAGTTTAGTAGCAGCCTATCCTTTGTTTTAGTTTACAGCTAGCCATCTTTACTTCTCAGGTTTATCTTTATAACCAACTCCAGAAAAAGGGATTTTTTTACAGCCATCACTTGAAAATTACAGAGTATAGCTTTCCTCATTAGTTGAATGTGCTTTTTAGTTATCAAGCCCAGTAGTTGGGGTTGATGTATATTGACCAGATACAAGAGGTCCTGCCGTGTCCCAGCATACTGCCTTGAGCTTGTCCAGATGAAAGTCAAATCCTAGGTCATGTCTAAGTCATGTCTACACAAGTAGAATTAACTGGAGATACCCTGTAGCCTCCATGGGCTTCTTTGTTAGATCATTGTAAAGATAGCTCATGCACTCTGCTGTAGGTATTCTTCATATATGTCAAACATCTAAATCTTGGGATCACCTGGAATTTACAGTAGAAAGGTACTTTCCCCATATGTTCTAATTTCCTCCTCAGGGTGAAGGGCTTTGTAGAATAGAAGCAAGTTTAAGCTGAAGTTCCTAGTACTTTAATTTCTGAGGCCAGAGAGTGCTGAGGTGAGAGTCTTAGGATTTTGGTTCAGTCTGGAATTTAGTGGTTGGTATTCAATTAACATTCCTCATCTAGTTAGAAGGCATGCCAGCCACCAGTCTTCCCATGACCTTCCCTTTCAACTCAGTGCTATAACAGCACAACCCTTGTATAGCTTTTTCCAGGAATTATAACAGGCCGCACCTATTAGACATGTGATGTGGGCAGCAAGACTGAGATCAGAGCCAGTGGTTGTCTGCCTGGCCTGCTCTTTCTGGCTGTCTTGGAAACTAGATTCAGCAAGAAGCTGAGGGTAACCTCCGTGTCTAAATCTAGTCATCAGTCACCACACACTCCTGGGCTAGCTACATATTCTTTCATAGACCATTTGGTGCATGTGTGAGAATTATATTGTTACTGTTTGGGAGAGGTTTGCTGGATCCAACAGGAAATCAGTCCTTCCCCTGTTTACCTAAACTGCCATGCCAAAGTATAATGCTCCCTCTCCCTAATAAAGGGGATGAGAAAGTTGAGAATCAAAAGGGTAGAGGAAAGGAAGGAAGGAAGCACTTCTTTGTATTCACAGATGGTACCACCTGGACTAGAGGAGTCCCTTTGACTCCTTATGGAGAGAGTGGCTCTTGTGATGTGGGTAAGACTACTATTATTATCTGCTTTGTCTGCTACCATTCATTTTGGGTTTGCAGCCTCTATTACAAAAGTTGACAGTTCTTAGACTTTACCTTCTTGTACCTTTCATTCTATAACCTTTCCAGCCTGTATTTTAGCATTGAGCATGATGAAGGCAACTGAAAAGCAGACAGTGGGCTAATACCTGATTAGAGAAATGTACATGTGTAATACATGTGCCCCATGTATCCTCATCCCCATTGCAATGGGGGGGAGGTAGTGTGCTGGGAACTGTACATAATCACAGCTGGTCTTGGCTTTATAGCAGTCCATAACGAGAAATTTTATTGACATTAGCATGTCAGATTTACAAGGATTATCTCTTTAAGTGTGTGTCAGTTGAGAAAAGATCAAGAGTCATGTTTAAGAAAACCATGGGATTTTACACCACCTAACCAAGAGCATAGTTCAGCCACATCAGGTAGGGATGGTGGCCTTTTCCGGGTTCAGTCTTTAAATGTTCCCCCATCTGATTTCTCTATAATCCTTTGTCTCTCACTTTGCCACACCTGTCTCCTTGTTCCTGTAGAGTGGCTTCTTTGACCTATGTTCCTTCCATTGCAAAAATTTATTCAACGTAAAGCTGATTTGGTTGAGATCTGAAATTTAGGCCAATCCTGTGATGTGTGGTGGTCCTGAGAGACTGGATTGTCTGTCAACTATATGACACATATTTCTTTCCTTGGCAGAGGCCTTGACACAAGCTGGGATCTGTTACCTTAGGCCTTCTCCTGCTGCTCTGCAGGAAGGCCTTATCTGACCACTTCTGTGAAACTTGCCCCTTCTCAAGCACTCAGTAACTCCTGGTGTTGATCCATCAGGAGATGATGGGATTGCTGAGGCTTAAATTTGTAGGGGTATTAGAAACACCCAGGGATATGACAGGATAAAAGGTAAAAACACTAAGAAGAAGACTCGTTAAAGAATATGAGAACTGAGTTCTAAATGAGAACAAATAAGGTGAGAGACTGCATTCACCATTATCATTTGTGCCTTTGACAGTTACCAGAGAACTAGCCCCACTTCCTTTATGTTTTGGTACATTTACAAAGTACCACTTAGCTGGGGGACTGTGCCCACAGTAAATCCCTATGGAACTGAGAGCTCCAGAAGCCAGGACATCTGCAGTGGGTTTCAGGAAAGATTAAGTGACCTTCCAGAAGAGGAACTTAGCAGAACAAAGCCTAGAGGCCATACTCTGTAGGCCACAGGCTCTCAAGGGACAGGCCCAGAACCATCCTGAGGGAGCAGTATCATTCAGGTTTGGTGATTGTGCCATCAAAAGGCTTCCTGAGCATGTTCTTGGTGCCCTTTGGAATTGGCCCCTTTTCCTCTTGAGTCAGGACTGTGAAGGGCATGGCTCCAATAAGCTGAGGTATCTGGTGTGTGGGCAGCAGCTGGGAGTGTGCAGTGATGGCTTCAGATAAGGTTGTTCCTGAGTCGTTGCTGCTCCAGGGAGAGTTCTGCATTGGCTCTGTATGAATCTCCTGTGAGCCAAACGAAAATAGTTAAGTAGCCAACCCTACCACAGTCTCATTCCTTCCCTGAGGACTTCACATAGACCCATTCTGTTCAGCTAATCCTTCACATCAGTTCAGTCATGGGCACAAACACTAGTCATTCTCTAGAAACAGACCCTGGTTAGGAAGAAGAGGCTGCTGAATGGAAGGGGCTATGGTGGTTCTTTGCCCCCTTCCCTGATTCATTCTGTGGTCTTTATTCTATTTCCTGGGAAACTGACCCCTAGAGATTGCACCACTCTGGCTGCCTTGTCCTCTGGTTTCTGGTTGAGGTAAGTCAACAACAGCAGACGATTAGAGTAAAGCAGAAGAGAGGTCAGGCATTTCTTCTGCTCTGCCTTGCACTTGGGGCAGTGTCAGTCCGTGACTCCAGCTCTAGCCAGGTTCAACGTCCTTCATAATTCTTGCTTTCATCTGGCTTCCTAACATACCTTCCTCCTTTAGATCTAGATGGGATAAAGTTTTCTACTTGTTTATCCCTGGATGCTCAGCATCTCTTATTTTCTTCATCCTATATTACAGACTGTTACACCTCTCTAAATAGTCCTTTGTTACACAACTCCAGGATGTGCCTTCTGTTTTTCTGCTAGGACTCTGATGGGTTTCTAATCATTAGGCAAGGGACCTACAAAATGCATGTTTTCCTTTTCTTCTTCACTTCTCCAGATCCATGCAGTCTAGTTAGAGTCTACTGTCTCCATAAGCACAACACTGGACTTCAATTCTTGATTCCTCTCATACCCTTTATTTAATTTCAGGAAACATCTACTTGATCACCCAAATTGGAAACCATAAACTCTCTTCCTCTTTTTATTCTGTCTCCATCTGTTGGCAGAGTTATTTTTTGAAACATAAATATTTTTTTTGTTTGACATTTGTCAATTATTCCTAGAAGCCCACAGGATAAAATTCCATTCTCTTAGAACAACTATAGCCCTCCCTGGAGGTAACTTTAGTAGGTTGGAAATTCAAGGCTCTATTTCACAAAAGAGAAAACAAGTACAAATTTCTTCACTGTCCTACAGCTAGACAGTAATACATTTGGATTTGGAACCCAAACCAATGAAGATGTCTGAAGCTAAATTCAATGCTCTTTCTCCTACTACTCCCTTCTGTGTCTTCTGCCCTCTCTTGAAAACTCTGCTCAAATATAATGTCTTCTCTGAAACCTTTTCTGGCCTGTAAATTGCCTTCTCTCTTTGCTTGTTCCACATTTAATTCATACCTGTTTAGGATACTCATTAGTATTGGGGTTAACTATTTGTGTATGGGCACACCCTCCTTGACACTGAGCTGTATCCTGCCGTGCTGCTACAATATTCAGCACAGTAGAAGACCTTAATACATGATGACTAAAGGAGCAACCCTTCCCTTCCACACATGCAATTAAGAGTCTCCCAGCCCCCTGAGCCCACCACAGTACTGGTCCCACAGTGGCTCAGTTACCTGTATGGCATTTGTGCAGCCAGACCCGCTGCCCATCATACTTGCAGTGGCAGCGCATCATGTTGTTGGAGAAATCAGATTCTGCCACCTCACTTGTGGGATTCACAACCACCTGGGGTGAGAGAGGAACGACTGAAAATGGGTGATTTGATTTCTGAGTTGATATGTCAGAACCCCCATAGTATTTTACAGTGTGTTTCTTTCTATTTGCTTCCTTAATCTTTACAATTACCCATAAGATAGGCATTAATGTCCCTATTTTACAGATGGAGACAAACTGTCCAATGTCCACTGAATCAGGACTCAAATCCAGGGCCTTGAGATCCCTAGTAAGTGTTCTTTCACCATGGCACAGCTTCTTCAAAGTGATAGGCCTGTTGGAGGGTGCATGGAAAATACTCTGCCTTCATCTTACCTGGAAGATATAGTCACCTGGGCCCACATCTGTGATATCTACCCACTGACAGTCAATGTCATGCCGGTAGGTGTCCCAGCAGCCCACAGTCACTCCCTGTTCCCCAAAGTTGGCACACGCGTAGCGCCGCTGCAGTCCTGTAAGGAAAGGTACATGGTTACTGAGGCACCAAGTAGGTACTTGTGACCAAGCACTGTGCTAAGTCTTTCACATACTTATTCATTTAATCCTCACACAAGTGTTTACTGATCAGTCAGTGCAGTTGACTGCAGATGCAGAACCTGAGATTGAGTTAGATGACTTGCCTAAGTATCAGAACTGGACTATGAATTCAGCACCACAGGAAAGTACATCTATTACAAGGAGATTATTACTTTGGATGGCATGTTAAAAAGCCCTGTTGGCCTAAAATGTGGTTGAGAGGTTACAGTCCTACTGTGTTAATTTATTTGTCTACCTGTCTACTCAGCCCTCTAAAGATCATGCGTACCATGCCATTCCTTAGGGATGGAGATGGGGTAGACACGTAGGAATTGGACAATGCCGGCCCTCAGAGAGCTTAGTAACTAAGCCAACTGTTAGCCAACGTAGAAAGTGTTAAGCTTTTAAAATCAGTACAAAGGTGTTGGGAATTCAGAGAAAACAGAGACCCTCTACCGAAGATTTCAGAAGATGAGAAATTGATCTTTTTTAATTGTCTCGAGTGCTATTGCCATGCCAATCTCCAGGTGCCTGGGCTGCTGAGCAAGGCAGAAGAGATCCTTACCCTCCCAAAACAGAGGAATGTAACAAGAGGATAGATGGTGTTAGGAAAGCATGTACCTGTAGGACAGTTTGTGTCTTCTAGACAGAAGCTGGCCTTGTGCCCCTCAGCCACCTTGGAGCCATTGAGTGTGAGCAGATCATAGTGGGTGAAGACCTCGATGCTGTGGTAGTGCCTGCGGATGAGGCAGAGCTATCAACCCCAAGGCAGTAGGAAAAGGTCTTCTCTGGAGGGGTTGGCAGGGAAGATTGAGGGACTAGGCCCCATCATTACACAGAAAGAGTTATAATAGCAGAGCAGTGCTCTTCTTTCTTCCAAACCCAAGATTAGTGTGACTCACAGCCTACTTTGCTGGCACCCCTGCCAGCCAGCAAGGCATGGCTATCCCTGTCACCTAGGGTCTTAACTCAGGTGGGGAGAGGTAAAAGTCCTGCCCTAGTAGCCTTCAGGATGTTGGAACCTGGCTGCAGGGCCTGAAGCAGAGGTAGAGGGGAGGAGTACCTGGGGACCTGTCTAGGAGCAGAGGTTCTGGGGAGGAAGCTAACTCTGCTCCCTGTCAGCCTGGGACCAAATTGCTACCATAGTTTCCAATACAGCTATAATGACAACTCTGTTCATCCTACAGGAAAAGGTGCTTATTACCTCAGGCAAGCCCAAGTCCCAAAGTCATTGCCCATTCCTCTCAGCTTTTCCCACCCATGGCTATGTCCTGACAAAATAAATAAAAATTTTTTCCATTCTTTCTGTCACAGGCATTGTCTCTCCTTCTGGTCTGGAGGCTTCTGATAGGAAAGAATGCTCATTGTCTCCTTTTTAGTACCATTCTGCTCATACCATTCTTTGGAGGCCTTGCCTACTGCTGCAGGAACCAGCAAGCTTTTTCTGCAGAGCCAGCATCCTATTTTGGGCCTCCAGGTTTCTGGGAGTCCTCAGTTTACCTGGCTCTAAAATTAAGGCTTAAGATCCTATGTAGAAAAGTTACGTAGACTGGGCATGGTAGTACATGCCTATAATCCCACTCTTCTGGGGGGCTGAGGTCGGAGGATCATATGTTATAAACCAGCCCGGGTAATTTAGCAACTTTTGTGAGACCTTGTCTCAAAAAAGAAAGGATTGGGGATATAGCTCACCACAAAGGCCCTGGGTTCAATCCCCAGTACCGAAAAAAGTGTAATACCATTCGAACGGATAGCAGCTGCTGGACATAACTTCTCTGTGGGAAATGCTCCATGAGCACCGTCCACAGTTATGTCCTAAGCAGGTGAGAGGGCAGGGGAATGCTATTGGCACCCCTTCTGCCCCCAGAGAGTAAGACCAGGAAGGCATCTAAGATGGGAGACTTACCTAGCATGTGCACCTCTCTCAGGAAAGTTTGTCCAAGGCCAGGGAAGACCAAACTGGTCCATGGACCCTGCTTTTGTTCCTCACCCTCTGGAGACATGGCACAGGCAGGCACTGACCTGTGGCACTGGTGCCAAATCCAACTGTGGCGTCCAGTCTTGGGACGAAAGTCAGCCCGGCCCAGGTTGTAGATCTGTGAGGAGAAGCGCAATAGGCGCCGGTGTCCATAGGGCCAGTCCATGTGGTCGGCAGACTGAGAAAGGCAGTTCTCTTCGTGGGCACAGTACAACAGGCTGAGTGGGCGGTCCTCCAGGTAAGCCGTCTCCTGTACCAGCTGGGCATTCATCACCAGGTCTGGAGCACCTGGGGCAGCAGAAGTCAAGACAAGAGGCCAAGGGTAGCAGGGCAGCTGGTCCTGCCTCTGGCATGAGCACATGCTTGCCCCCAGACCAGTCTTTCTAAGAGGAGCCTAAATAAGAAGGGCAGTTGAGTCAGGAGATGTTCTAATATCAGTGAAAGGAATAACATCATTTTAGCCTGGAAGGCAGCTCCAGGGTCATAGTTAAGGTTACCAGCTCGGGAGCCAGGCCACCAGGGTTCATTCTTGGTATAGCTTCTTACTATGCCATTTACCAGTTCTGTGACTGCTTAACCATTTTGTGTGTCATTTTTGTCATCTACAAGATGGAAATAATATGATGTATTTGTTATGTACTTAGATTATCTGGCCCACGATAAACATGCAGTGGATATAAGCTAGCATTTCCTTTGAAAAATGTTTTTCAGCAGGTAAAGTGCATATAATCATCATCTTCTCAAACAGGAATCCTGTTCTAGCCCAACTGCTGCTGTGAGTGTTCCCTGTGCATTTCTCTTCTGAGATATCATGAGTATTTCTAGTGCTTCTCTGTACGTTAAAACTCCCAACACACTGGTGCCAGTGTCTCTATAGGCAGTTCAGTGCCTGCCTTTCCTCTCCTGTGACAGGGGTCTTAACATCCTCTGAAGCCACAGGCCTTTTTTGCTGGTACAAAAATGTGGAGACCCATAGTTGTTGCCATGTAACCTCAAAAAGAAAAATTGCCCTTTCTTGGTGCTTGTCTGTGCAAAACCACGGGGACACAGCTTAGGTATTTGGGCAGAAGCATCTCCTCTGGGTGGGCCCACATACTGATCCAGGTGGGTGGGAACACTGGCTTATTTCACTGGCTGGGCTTTGAAGGTGCTTTGCTATATACTGTCACTAACAATGCTCTTGAAATTCCTGTGTTATATTTTGGAGAGAGCCAGAATATGCCCACTGACAGACCCCAGAGTTCTTGAGGGAAAGTAGGAGAGCTTTCAGAAGAGAGGATAAAGGGGGAAAAGTAATGAGAAAAGCTAAAGAGAGAAAGGATGGCCACAGAGGCTGCAGATCAGTTGGCTGGCTGCCCAGCTTTCGGAAGCATCAAATGTATGCAAGTAGAGACCTGGCACTGGAGGCTGTAAAACAGGGAAGGGCCCAAGGTTTTCAGGAAGAGGAAGGTGAGTGGAGAGCAGGTCCCCAGCCTGCTCTGGGGCCTTGGTGCTGTGGAGGTCCCACTCTGATGCCCCATCAATCTGCAGGAGAGGGGTGATGGCCTGGCCCAGCACTCTCAGGCTACATTGCATAGGGGAAGCCTAACACTCTCTGACCAAGGTTAAGAATGTCTTGGGTTGAAGTCTGGCTAGGTAAACTAGCCATATAAGTTAGTGTTACCCTGCAGCTTTTGGACTGGAAATAATTATCTCAGCACTGACCTTGTTGGCAGATGTTGAACAGAGATGCTACTGCCTTGAGAATTTGGGTTTGCAGGGAAGACCCTTACCACAAAATGGTCTTGTCCTTGTGCCTTTTGGGAAATGCCATACCTCAAGAAGAGAACACACAAGCTAAGCCTTAGGCTCTGGTGTGCCTCATATATATCCTCTTTCAAACTTGTTTTCTTACAAATGACAAGAACTATAATTCATGTTGTAACACAGTATACACATATATAGTTCCAAGAGAAAAAAACCACTCTCGTTAATAAATACAATGCACTCTTTTGTTTTCTAGTCTGTTTTACTTTTTAAAGTCATAACCGCAGAATTGGAAAACCCTGTTCTATCTTGTGTTTTTGCATATTCTGTTTTTATTTTCACAGTAACTCCATAAGGTGGGCAGGGCAGATTTATATCTTGATGTGATAGGTGCTTTGGCCACACAGCTGGGAAATGGAGTTAGTGCTTCCACTACTCAATCCTGCCACCATGCAGCTGGGTCCAGCATTTAGGGCCTTTGATGGGGAGCGGAGGCCTACCTGTCCACACCCTGTGAGCCCTCCCATTACTCACTGTTGGTGCAGGAGACTCCTGCTGAAAAGCGCCCGGTGCCATGGGAGCAGTGCACAGGCCCATGCCTCTGACACTGCTGCAGGGCCAACTCTGTCCCTGAGCAGTGCACCCCACTCATCACCACTTCTCCAGCCTCTGGTGTCCCCTGCCAGTACCAGGTATCCTAAGAAAACAGCCAGCACCACCCAGTCAGAGCAGAGAGGTGCTTTAAATCATCTCTGATGCCCATCTGCAGCTTAGACCCCATTATCTCACCTCCACAAGGCTAGGCCCTGCCTGGGCCTGAAAGTTGTCACTGATGAAAACCTCTACATCTTGTGCAGTCCATGTTGCATTCGGACCCATCTGATATTAGAAGGTTTTTCCATGTACTGAGGCAAAAACCTGTAGCTTGTGGCTTCCATCTGGCCCCGCTCCTACCCTCTCCCTGATGGCAGTCTTCCTCTGGGGCTTTAAGGGGTGGGGCTGTCCCCTCCTCCCACTTAAGTGGTGTGTCCCCATCTGTTACTCACATAGCCTCAGCATTATGCTCAGGGCTGTGCCCAGTTTAGTGAAGTCTTCCCACGCACTGCCCAACAGGCCAGAGTGGATGGCTGTACTGTAGCCATGCTCGAGATCTCTTGATTTTGTTCCTTTGTGTGTTTTGAATCTATTCACTTATTTCATCCAGACTGCCACTGGCTGGGTCCAGTCTGACATCATTTCTCACCTGGGCTTCTACAGTAGCCTCCTGAGTATGTTTACCTGCATTTATGTTAGTCTCCACCCCAAATGTTTTTGAAATAGCAAAGAAAGAAAGCTTTTAAAACTCTGGATTAGACATTGTGAATGGTGTTGCCCCTGCATTCTTCTCCACCCTCAAATGTCACACTACTCTCCTTTGACAGCCACACTGCAACCCTGGGTCCCTGGTTTCTTCAACTGAATCAGGCTTTCTCTGGCCACAAGGGCTTTGCATGAGCTGTTTAATCTTGCACCTCATCTAGCTAACATCTATTTGTCTTTCCTACAGATACACCTGTGTACTTGTTTGTATGAACAAACACTAATTCACTCAACTGTATGCTCTGCAAGTCAAAGACTGTCTTGCTCACCCTAGTACTGAGCATTATGTCAGCCCAGAATTTCAATTAATTATTGAATGAATGCTACTACAGAAAATTTTGGTCCTCTTAGTCTAGGAGGCTGAGAGGTTGTAGGGAAGAAGCAAAACAGGGACTTACCTTGATGGCAAAGTTGGCAAAACCCAGGCTGAGCTGTCGACAGACCACCGTGGCCTCAGTGAGCCCCCAGTGGTCACTGCACACAGTACCCCAGCGTTGGACCCCATTTACTTCCACCTGCACCTCCACCACGCCCTCCTCGTGGCTTCTCCCACCTGCCAAGCGCACCTGCAATGGTCAGAAATGTGTGAGGTTCAGGGCAACGTGAGGTGGGAAGAACTCAAGACTGCAAACCTGGAGACCAGCCCTAGACCACATATTCCCATCTTTAAAGTGGGGACAGTATACTACATAGTCCTGAATGGCCCTACCTACTAAAGAAATCTGACTCTGGGTGCCTATGCAGCACCTCCTGCCCTGGAACTTGCCCTCTTCCTACCTAAAATCCTACCATTAATGATGATTTGCAATCTGTGAAGGGCTTTCATGTCTACTACCTCATTCACAATGACCCATGAGAGAACCCCACAGTCCCCACCAGCACTGACCCTGGAACCTGAGCATCCCATCCCACACAGCACCTTGTGCCACTCCCCAATGCTGGCAGGCTATGACCCTCACCTTCAGCATCTTCGAGTGTGTGGAGGAATGGGTGCACTTGAAGAGCTCCTGTGTGTCCCTCAGACATCTCTGAGCAACCCAGGGGTTGGTGGACCCCCACGGCAGGGGTGTTAAGACCCATCTCCTGAGCCCCTTCCTGCCAGACATGCTCTGACCTGAACTCACCTGATTCTGGAAGCCCATATCCGGGATGTTGCACCTGACAGCAGCATCATTCTTATGGTGACAGCCATTCTGGGGCCCCTCCAAAGCGAGGCAGTCACTGAGGGTCCGCTCATAACCCCTGCAGCGCACCTCACTCAGGTGAATGGGCCCTAGCCCTGGAGGATAGGTGCTGTGTGAGTGGAGTTCCACCTCTATAACCCCACACCTGAGACTTCCCTCCATAGATGGCTAGAACCCAGGGCCACCAAGAGAAGAGCCAGGGCACATCTTGTCCCTCCCAACCCACTCAGGCTCCCTCACTCACCTTGGCCCAGCTGGGCCCCAAACAGGGCTTCACGTGCAGAGCCAAAGCCAAGCTGGCGACATACAATGCTGGCAGAGATGAGGTTCCACCGGTGATCACAGATGGTGCCCCACTGGCCGTTCACAAGCATTTCTACCCGACCCTCACCCACCTGGGCCCCGGAGCGTAGGCGCACCTTCAGCTCCTGGCATCAGGGAGGGAAGCCAGAGGGGCTGTATCACCACAGAGAGACCCAGGCCAGGGCTTCTTCCAGCTGTCTGTGGAGTCCTGGGCTTCCCTCTGACTTCCCATCACTATCACCTCAAATAAGCAGTGTTTTTTGACCTCCACTTTTCCAGAGGAATCACCCCAAAACCTCATCAAGGAGGTATTCTCAGTGTTGTGCTGGAAACACTTCACTAACACTTGCTCCTCTACTCTCTATAACAAAGGGCCAGCTTACATTTAATGCCCTCAGCCCTAATGGCTGTAGCTGCCATTTACTGTTTTTATGGTTACCCCATGGCAAGTGATGTCAACTTTCCATTTATGGTAGGGTTATAAATGATTCCTTTGAAATAAATGCCAAGTCTCTACCATCCTGTCATTTGTCTCCTCTTCCTGGTCTGGTTCCTCTCTCCTTTCCCCATGAGGCAGGGTCCTGCTGAGAGGGGCTCTGGGCCTCCAGGCTGGGTGTGGGCCCCTTGGTGCTCACTCACCTCTGCCCGGGGCTCCTTGCTCCGGGGCTTCCCCTTTGGTAAGTGAAATCGGGGCCCTGGAATACAGCTGACTATAGCATGCATGCCACCTGGACAGGCTGGCCTAAGTTTGCCCCGTCCTGGAGCCACCTGCACCTGGCAGTTGGCCAGGTGGGGCTCTGTCCCCGTACAGTTGACCCGGTGGATCCAGAAGGAGTTCTTATTCGCCAGGCTCTTTAACCTGGAAGTCAAGAAAAATTTTGGGTAGAGGAGGCTACTGAAGGCTAATTGGGAGGACAGCGAAAGGGAAAAGAAAGAGGCTTTCATGTCACACTTCTTTGCACCCTCCCCCGGGGTGCTGCTCCTCACCTAGATTTGGGATCCTTCATCTTCAAATTCCAGACTTTCCTGTGTTGGGAGAAAAGAGTGGGGGGAGGAGTGGAGGGGATACGGAATCCCACTGCCAGGTTGTTCCACAGAGTTGCACTTAAGTTTGCCCTGGACTTCATAGTCTGCAAACGTATTCACAAATCTTATTTCATTGCTGAGCTTCACAACAGGCCCAATAAGGTGGCCAGTTCACAAATAATGATGATCCCCATTTAACTGGGAAAGTGAGCAAGTTCCCGTGGCTTGTCCTGCAGTGAAATCTCTACTATACTGGAGCTGCCCCTGGAACAGGCAGCTTAAGCTTACCCTCCCCCAGTCCTGATGAAGGGTAGCCTTGAGGTCACACCCTGAGGGAAGGGACCTGGGGAAAGGCCCTCTGGGGACAGGTGGGAGATGAAGGCCTTGCTGGAGGTAGAAGTGCTGCTACCCAGAGATATCCAAGCTATAATCAGGGCCACTTTCCTCATGGGGGGCAGGTGAGTCAGCAGGGCCCACTGTGCAATTACCAGGCAGCAGGGAGCCAGGGCCTCACATCCCCATCGTCCCCAAGGATGGAGTCACAAGGCTGCCTACCACTTTTTTCCCCTTAGGACCAAGGTCATATAAGCTAGAATATCAGGAATTTGCAACTGCATCAATGCCACATGATGAACTGACTCGGGTAGATGACCAGAGGTGCTGCAGGAGATTTTTCCCTCCATGAGAAACACATTTTCTTGGACATGGAGCCAGCAGGACTGGGATTGTGGTCATTATGTACTGGGTGATGCAATCTGCTATGATAGCTCAGTCACATTTCTGGCAGAATATTTTTATGTCTTCTCTCCCAAAATCTGCCCCACTCTATGCCTTGCTTACATGCAACCCAATCACCCTGGCTTGTATCCTAGTTGAGGAAATTCACTGGGACAAAGTTGAGATAATTCACAGTGAAATGGACAATTGAGGCCCAGATGCATGACTCAAAGTTGCAAAGCTGGTAGCTGGTAGCAGGTCTCAAAGCTGGTAGAGTTGAGACCAGAATGCATTTTTTCTATACTTGTGGGCAACAGTGTAGACCTCTTTGGTAAAATCTATCTTTCAATCAAGGACATAAAAGTTTTACATTCAATTGTTTTCATTGCCAGGGTATTCTGTACCAGTCAGTTCTTTCCATGTGATTGGCAAATACAAAATTTATTTTCTGACCACTTCTAGGTGTTCTTCATGATTTTGGAGCTCATCCTCATGTACTCTTTAACTCTTCTGAGAGATTAGTAACTCAAGAACTCCAGGCACTTTCCTCACTTCAGCTCTTTCCCTTCTCATCCCAACACGTGCAGGCAGATATCATGCCTTGGACAGCCTCCCCCATCTATCCTCCAGCTGTCACAGCACCCTGCAAGGTTCTACACACCACACACACATGCACACACATTCACATCTCACACTTGTACTCACATACTCAGAAATCATGTGTCACACTTGTGCGCCTCTCCCTCTCTCTCTCTCTCTCTCTCTCTCTCTCTCTCTCTCTCTCAACCATAGCTCCAGGATCCCACCACTCTCCTACCTGTAGTAGTGGCTGTCGACAGGCACTTGGCTGGGGAAGCCCAGCATCCCGCATACCACCCTGCTGTTGTTCATAGTCCAGCCCTGGTCACACACCTGTCGCCAGTGGCCCTCGTATCGCACCTCCACAGCACCCTCAGTCACTGGGCTGTGACGCTTGGCACTGGCAAGGATGGGCTTGAGCCGCACTTGCTCCAGCCGCCGGCCCTGCAATGTGCACAGTCACCGTGGGCCTCATCCCTGAGCCTCTGTGGGGCGCTGCAGGTCTTCCGTGGGAAAGCCCTGAGCTCAGAGCTCTTACAGAGCTCTTATCTCCTCCAGCCCCTCACTGCTTAGGCTAGGAACCCAAGGCCCAGAGAGCAGAAGACATTCACTAAAGGCCAGTGTGAGTAGGAGGCAGAACCTGTTTGTATAGGCCTTTTGCCTCATCTCCTCAAATTTATTAAACTGGAGAGAAAGAGGCAGATCTGTGCCCTTCCTGCCCTCAGTACAAGAGCACTTGGGGTTTAGGAGTCTTCTGCTGGGCATGGAGGGGCCTTCTTCAAGCCACCCTGGGGAAAGTTGAGATGGGCACAGAACAGCTGCTTGAGACTACCAGCAGGGTCCTTTGGCCTGCAAGACTTGCTCCCCTAGCCCTGGGTGACTTAGACTCAGGGAGCCCCCATGGTGGCCTGTTGCACTCACTGGGCTAGGGCCAGCTCTCCTTGGGCAGAAGCTACCCAGCAGCAGAGAGTGGGAGCCAGACAGAGCCTTGCCCTGCCCACTCCTGATGTTTGGTTTAGGCTGTTTTTAGCTGAGGGTTGTTTGTGCTGGGAAGAGGCAGCAATTGTGGCCAGGCCTGTGGGTGAAGCAGCCCCCTTCCCCCCCTCCACCTCCCTTGTGGGGAGCAGCTTCTGTGATTCCTGGCAAGCCTGGCCTCTGATCCCCTGACTTGCTCTGCATCAAACTGGGGGCCTCTTTCTGTGCACCTGCCCATGGCCAGAGCCCAGGGATGCTGCTCAGCCCAAGCTTGGTCCCAGGAGGCTCTCTCCACCATACAATGCTTGGCTTAAGCTAGAACCTGACTGGCCTCCTCACCTGGGGCCCAAGGGCATTTGAGATCCTCTCAGAGAGAAAGCCACGCTGGCGCTGGGGATGGCACACCACCCCGACGTCTTCCGAGTGGCTGCAGTCACTGACACCCCAGCCATTAGACACACACTGGTCCAGAGTGCTCTCAGTGCCCAGACAGCGTACATTGTCCAGCCAGATGGGTCCTATGGAGGAAAGGATGGGCAATGCTTAGGACTGGACACAGAAAGGCAGGCCACAGCTCTGCTTTTGGATAGGAGCCCACTTACCAAGCTCTGCTTTTGGATAGGAGCCCACTTATCAAGTCTCTTCTAAATGCTGAGTGAAAAGTGGGAGGAAGAGGAGTTCGTTCTCTGAGGTCTTAGTATTCACTGCCCTGCCTACTGCCTCCTCTTGGTTTCAGGTCCATAGAACTAGTTTTTGGAAAATGCCAGGTGGGTCTAGACATACATGGTCACTCATCCATCCATTCAGTGCTTTCTAAGTACCTATTATGTGCCAACTGCTATGTCCAAGGAACTTAATGAGTTCAGTTATGGTGATGGTGGTGGCCCCATTATAAGAGAGAATGGGAGAGTCAGAGTGGGAGTCCTCTACAGGTGGGACATTTAGGAAGGGCCCCATGAGGGAGGCCACTTGAGCTGGGCATTAAAGGGTAGGTGGGCATTTGGCACATTCTGTTGGATCCTCAATGGGCCTAGCCCCTGAGAGAAGCCAGCTATCATTTTGCCATCCTGTGGAGCAGCAGCACCATCACTCACCCTCCCCTTGGCCGTACTTAGCACTGTGGGCCCAGGTCAAGGCAGACTCAAAGCCTAGCTGGCGGCAGGCTACCATGGCCTCCTGGAGAGCGAAGTCATCATCACACACGGTGCCCCACTGGCCCTGGTGTAGGACCTCCAGGCGGCCTTCCTCTGGCCTGCTCCCTGGGCCCACCAGCCGGAGCTTCTTGGTGCCTGGTGACTGTGATTTATTGGGAGGGGCCTGGCCTAGCAGCAGCAGGAACAGAGAGAGGGTGGCTGGTGGGTACCACATCATGATGACTTCAAGGGAACCTGGGAAATGAGTAAACAATGATCACCACCTCTACTCTTCAGTAACACATAGGAAGGTAGAGGAGGGGGCCTATGCTTCAAGAAATGGGGGAGCCCCCAGAGGTAACTTCAGGTCAGGAATATCTACTCCAGGGATATTTCTCTTTCCTACCTTTTAATGTTCTCAGCACCCTGAGCAAAGGTGTAAAATGCCACCTTCACACACAAGGCACATGGAATGCTGGGACAGAAAGACTTATTAGAGAAGTCAAGATCTCTCCCACTCATTTGTTATGTGGCTTGGCCAAGTCTATTAAATTCTTTTTTTTTTTTGTATATCCTTTTATTGGTACATTTTAGGTGTACAGTATAATGACATTCATCATTGGAGATATACACCTTTACATACTCTCTTGGTTCTTATCTTTTCCTTCCCAATTCTATTAAATTCTGTTGGCCCTTATTTCTTATTTCTAAACTGAAGAGGCTGAGCCAAATATGATCTAATATCTCCAGCTTGGATGGCCTGTGGTATCCTTCAGTCACAGCTTCAGTTCTATCTAGGTGTAAGATTCATGCATTAATGTAACAAACACCTTTGGAGAACTGTATCTACTTCTGGCCAGTTCTTAGGCAGGGTACTGTGACACGAAAAGAAAGACTTCAAATATCCTCGCTATATTCACGATGTACAGAAGAGAAATCAGGGAAGACTTTCAAAGGAGGGACTCTTAACATGGCCTTTGTTGGATGAGTAAGAGTTTTTCTGGGTGGGAAAAGGGACACTGAAGGGCAGGGAACCAGATAGGTAAAGGAGGAAAGAGAGAAAAAGGTGAGTTTGTGCAAGAGCAGGGAGTGCACATCTTTTGGCCCTGCTACAGTGTTGTAGTCTTGGAGGGGAAAGAGAAGGGACAAACTGGCCCAGGTTATCAGGCTCCTGGATGATGAAACTGGTAGAGCTTATTGTGGCTGGTAGAGCTTCCAGAGACCTCTGAAGCCACCACTGCAGATGTGCCTCCCTCCACCCCAGGCTCTATGCTGATGGGGAGCTGAGGCTCCCTGGAAAAGTGGCTGAAGAAGGTTGGGTCCCTGACTCCCTGCCCAGGTGCTCTTGTCTTCTGAGAGCTGGCTCTGAGACCCTTTTCTACAGCCATATTGGTCTTGGGGATCACTCAAGACTCACTCAGGCTGTGCAGGGAGGGTCTCAGGTGCCTGCAAGTCTTGTCCCCACAGCTGGTATCCACTTGGGAGTCACTTCTTATTCCTCTGGTATCCAACAGAGGGCTGGGGTGGAGGGGGCTGGAAGTGTATCAGATGGGCTTAGGGAATGATGTTCCATTAGGAGTGGTGACTTTGTGTTGTGTCTAGAATGCCCAGAATAGTGCAAGGAATGGGGGTGGCACTCAGAAATATCCATGGTTGCACGGCTGGGAGATGCTTTGTCTTAGGACTTGAGTACAGATAGGGAACTAGACTGCCTGGATTCAAATTCCACTCCCCCATCAGTGTCTAGGTGATTTGAGGGGCAATTACTCATGGCCCTAGTGTGTCCCTCTGTAAATTGAGATAGTAATGGGATGCACTGCATAAGATTTTTGTGAAGGTTCATGATTGAACACTAAGCCCTTAGAAGAGCAGGCTCTTCTCTCAGAACTACTAGGACACCATTGTAACAGCTGCAACAGAACCATTGGCTTCTATTGGTCTTTCCCCTCTTTTACAAAGAAGGAAACAGAGACCACATTCTTTCTTAGTTGCCAGGTCCTTGGTACCTTTCTCTGCAACATTCTCCAGGTTACCTATCCTGTCCACCCCACTGCTGAGGCCAGATCCCTCTCCCTCTCCTGGCTGGCTGTCATCATGAATAGAGCCTTCCTGTTTCCCATGTCACTTTTTTCTCCTCTGTGCTCCCCTGAGGAGTAGTGGACACCAGGCATGAGCCAAACCAAAGTCACTACAGGAGGAAAGATTCCCCAGGTGACATGAGAGGGTCAGAAGGATTGGGCTCAGGGCCCTCACTGTCAGTACCCAATAGTCACACTGAGTCTGGGCTGAGATAACTTTACCTCCCCCACCAACCTTCTGGAGTTCTGCCACCAAATTGCTCTGTGTCTGGACTTGTGTTTTCCTTTCTCTGCTCCCCAGCTGAGACATCTGTAAAATGAGGGGTGGCACTAGGTGTTACATGTTCTGACAGGGGCCAGGGTGGCTGGCATATCTGCTGTTTGCCTTGTGGATGAAGTGCCCATAGCTTGGAGGAGGTCTTATCAGAGGCTATGGATAGTACCAGGCCAGCAGGCTCTCTGTCTAGGACAGGGGAGAGTTTCTGCTTCAGGACCCTGAGTTCTGGGCCAGGGCAGCTTCCTTCCACACAAGCTGCCCAGAGGTGAATGGGTGATAGCAGAACCAAGAGTCAGATGCAAAGATAGTCACTCTTCTCAGGTCTCTCCAAACACACACACACACACACACACACACACACACACACACACACATTACAGGGTCCCTGTAGCTTTCACTCACACTAAACTGATCTATTTCCTGCACATAGCCTTCATTTTGCAGCCTTAAACCTTTACTCTCACTGTTCCTTCTACTTGGAGTGCCCTTTTCTTCTATCTCAGATTATTAGACTCCTACATATCCTTTAACACTCAGCTCAAATGCTGCTTCTTCCACTGAGCGCTCCCAGTCCCCTGCTTTCCTAACACTTCGTGTGTTTGCCTCCTAACTCCACAACCAGTCTCCATATATCTGGTCTCCCAGAGGAACACAGAGACGAGGACTAGGCTGAGAATCAGCCCTTAGAGAAGGAGGCAGCCTCAATAGTCTTTTCCTTTTCCCAAGTGAAGGAAACAGAAGAGGGGAAAGAAGGCAAAGGAGATGGGAAAATAAGGAAGAAGGAAGTTGAACATTTAAAAACGTTTATTTAATATTTATCTCCATTTTACAGATGAGAAGATGAGGCCCCTGAATGAAGTAATTTGCTCAGTCAGAAATCAAACCCAGGCAGCGTGGCTAGAAGCCAGGCTCTCCAAACTGCCAGAAATGGATGTTGGAAAAGGAAGAGGGAAGGGTGGTAGGGAGCTGAATGTAACTGAACCCTGTTACTGGTTGATTTATAACCCAGGCTGTAGTGTGGTCTGAGGGTACTGGGGTGGATGCCAGCACTGAGTGGCACCAAGTGACAGATCCAGGACCCTGCAGCTCCAGGCAGAGGCACCTGCTGCAGGTGCTGCCAGGGAACACTGGCACCTGGCCTGACCTAGTCCAGGAAGGGAGGGCTGGAAGAGGGCAAATGCCCAAGGGTAGCAGGAGAGAGCAGGAGGAGATACCAGCTCCAGGATCACTCCCAGACCCTTCTGTGTAGCTCTATAGGAGCTGGGCTTCCTCTCTAAGCCCTGCATGCTCCCTGGGAGCCCTCACTGTGTGGGCCTGATGCAGTGCCAGACTGGGCACCTGTGGGGGCTGGGAGAGGTGGGGGCTGACATCCTCTGTCACCCTCCATTCCCTCCGGTTCCCTCTCTCCCCAGAATCCTCAGCTCTGGACTGCTGAGTTGGAGAGTCCAGCTGTGCCCTGGTTTAGTTCTCCAAGTTTCAGGAGTGACATTTGAACCCACTTTGCCCAGTCCCCTCCCTGTTGCCTGGACCAGAAGGCAGAGAAATGGTTACATACAGGGTGTTCACAAATCACACACGCAGGCACCCCTGGGGCTGGGGCGCACCATCCACGCGGGCCTCCAGCCAACCTCCCCGACCTGGTCACTGTCCAACTAGGAAAAGATTGTAAGCGAGCAACTCTGGGCTAAGACCACCTGTGCATGGGACCCCATTCTTTCCAGTCCCCAGCCTCCAGGAACCCCTAGAAGCCTGCAGATCCAGAGAGGTAGGACAGAAAGGCAGCACAGCAAGAGGCAGATCCGGGGGGCCGAGGGCCAAGGGCCTCCGGGCGGGGGCTCACCAGCTGGATCGCAGGCGGTCAGGGCTGGGGCGGGCGCGCAGCGAGCAGAGCTAGCAGGCCTCCCGGAGCGCCCTGGGGTTTTTTTTATCCTCCAGCCGCCCGGCCCCCAGCCCCAGGCTGCCGCGGGAGAGTCCGCAGGCCCCGCCCCGTCCCCAGAGCCCCGCCCGGCCGGCCCTCAGCCAGGCCCTCCGCTTGGGGCGCGGCCCAGACCGGGAGGTCCTGGGGAGCGCGAGAGGGACGAGGTGGCCTAGGGTCCCCTGGAGAGGCGGCGGCACGCGCCAGCTTCTCTCACAGGGGGTGTCCCCCTCTGCCAAGCACGGTGAACATGCTCAGCCGAAGAGCTGCTTTCAGAGCCCCAGGGCCGGGCCCCTCACATGGAGCGGCGGTTCCAGGGTTCCTATCCCACTAGCTTGTTGCCCAGGACAATGTGGGCGCCCTTCTTGGGAGTGAGGGCTCAGTTCAAAGGAGGTCTGAGTGAGCCCTGCCTCTGTGCTGTTTATCCATTGCCCTGGTCCCCAGAGTTTACTGACTGCTACCTGGGGGCGAAGCTCTGTTCTTCCCATTTGCAGTTGGGAACTCTCAGCCCTACGAGACACGACTTGCTCCCCTGGGTGATAAACAGTGAATGAGAGAATTTAAAGTCTCCATTATACCGTTATATAAAGTTGCATGAGGCAGTCCAGGCCCTTGTCAGGCTCCTGAGGGAGGAAGTGGAGGAGGGTGTGTGGGGAGGGTAGGAGGCGGAATAAAACAAATGTGGAAATGGCTGAGAGGGGCGTCCCAGCAGCTGAATGGGCACCCAGTGCCTGAACTCCAGGACCAGCCCTCAGTGTCTTTCCCAGAGTCCTGGCCCCTTTCAGTGCACTCATCTGTAAAATAGGCAGAGGATTTCAGCCTTCCAGGTTGCTCCCTGGGCCCAGAGCAGTCCTGCCTTGATCCCTCTCTGATTCCATGGTACCCTAGTGTCCTTCTAAAGGCTCTTTCATTCCGGAAGGCTTTATTGATTTTCTCCTCTGTCCTAGACAAGGTGCCAGAGTGCTAGAGGTTGGAGGGGCCGGGCTTCTAGGGTAGTGGTGAGGGAGAGATAGAGGAGCAAGAAAGCTGAGTGTGATTAGTACCAGATGGCAAGGTGGACCGTGGTGACCCTGCTGCTGGGGACCTGACATCCATCTCTGTATCCCCAGGTCTAAGATGTCCCCACACTGCCCCTGCCCCACCCCAGCTGGGCCCAAAACATTCCCAACGATGAATCAACAGGAAAGAATGCTCCCAGCTTCGGGTCAGTGGTAGCAGCAGCAGTCCAACTCCTCCCCCTGAGGACAATGAGGCAGCTGTGGACTGGGGTGCCAGGTATTCTGGGAGCCCTCCCCGTGCCCAGCCACCTCTCATGCTGAGCCAGGAACAACACAGAGGGCTGCCGCCAGTCACCCACCCAAGCCTGCCTGCCCAGAACTAAAAATACCTTGGAGCCCAGGGGCTGGCACCAGGTAGAGCCCAGGGGATGAATGGATTTTGCCCGGAACTCCTTTAACTTGCAAGACTGCAAGGAAGCCAAGGCTGGAGAGTGGTGGGGAAATCTCCAAGGGGTCTGCTATGAGCCCCCTTCTTTGATAAGTGAGGGCTTGGGCCTGGACCCAGACCCATGGCTTAGAGGCTGGGCATTCTCAGCCCCCATCTCATCATCCTTTAATGCTGTTGTACGGGTAGGGGTGCAAACAGAGCAATTCAATTCGTCTCAGCCAGCTTTGACTGGATGTAGACTGCCATTTGCTCCCTGTGCTGAGCATATGTACAGGGCTTCTGCCCAGCACCTTTGACCCTCTGCTGTACTCTTTACATATAGGTCTATGTCCCTTGACCTCCTTATTTATCCCTAAGCCCAGATTCCCTCACAGGGCCTGGCACATAGAAGGGAATAAGCGCTTGTGGATTGAATAAATAGACCTAGAGCGTGCTGGTCCCTGGGCTGGTCCAGGGAGGCACAGATAAGCCAGATATTATTCTGTACTGTCTTCAAGGAGTATGCAGACTAATGGGAAGTTACCCACAATCCACCATCAGGAGAAGGCATCCATCATCGTCAGCAAGTATGGGGCAGATGCTCTGTGTGCTCTCTCATTTAATCCTTGCACAAAACCCCCTTAGATCATAGATGATAAAATGGGTGCACAGAGGTGAAGTGATGTGACCAAAGTCACACAGCTATTATCTGTAGAGGGTAGTTTATGTAAACTGGAGCAGAAGCACAGGGCTGTGAGGGTGCAGAGAAGTGAGCTTTGCAGTGGAAGTGCTGTGAGCCTGGAAGGATGCATCTGATGCCCAGGGCAGGGAGTGGGAGATGGGTGGTCAGGAATAGTGCTTTTCAGTGCTTTGGAAGCCCTGGCGCACTGTGCCAACATCAGGAATGATCATAGCTCCCCTCATTCTTCTGCTAGGCCCCAGGGACCTGGGCTTTGAGCACCACCATCTATCTAGCCCTGCCCATGGATAAGTGCTAACATGAATCTCATCACCACAGGGTTCTCTTCAACCTCATCCACCCACACCAGGACCTGTGTCTTCCTCCTAAGTGGAAAAGCCAGAACTCCCTGCAGAAAACTCTCCTGCAATGGTCCTGGCAGAATAGCCAGTGTCCTGGCCTGTGGGCAAGCCTCTGCCTCCTCAGCAGCCATCAAGACCACTTGAGGCTCACCTCCTTTGAGACTCATACAGAGGAAGTTGTACAGCTTGGACAGGGATAGCTTGAGTTCCAGCTCTAACTGAACTGTGTGGCCTCAGGCAAGTCATTTCACCAAGCCAAGGTATTGCCCCCTGCATCTATTCATCCTGCCCTTCTGACTCCCAGTGCCTTATGCCTGTGCTGTGCTAACAGGCTTGAAACTGCTCTCCTTTCTTCCCTGACTTGCTGTCTCTGACTTCTTTAGACCCTGCACAGAGTAATCTTAAAGTGTTGTCATGCCCTAGTTCAAGAATCTTTAATAGCTCACTCTTGCACACAGGGTCTGGAGAACCCACTGTTGTTCTTCCTGTTGCCTCCACTTGGAGCTCCTTTCCTCTTCTGACTTAATTTTTCATATTCTGTTTACCCTGGCCTGAGATTCCAGCTCCTCTATGGATTCTTCCATGAAAGTTTCTTGCATGAATGCTCGCCAAATAGAAGGTACTAGAAGAGTCACAGAACTAAACCAGACAAGCTTTACCCTCCAGGAACTCACTGTCTGGTGGGAGGGATGGCTCAGAGATGCATACAGCTGTTTGGAGGGTGGACTATGATAACAGAAAGTGAGAGGAAGGGGAGGCACAAGCCATTTTGCTAGGATGGGCTTTTCCTTTGCCGAGAACTGTTTAGCTGCTGCAGGGTTTTCATCCAAATGGGATGGGAGCTGAGGGAACTTGGAGACTTGGTAGGGTGGTATAGTAAGGCAGAAAGACCTAGCAAGGAGGCAAAGCTAGCCGTGGAGATGGCTCCTGAGGAGAAAAGATGGAGGAGCTGGCTTGTAGGAAGGAGAGGAAATTGGAGGCAGAGCACCAGTGGTTACACAAAAATTGTGCAAGTTTTGTTTTGTGATAGGTAATGTTTCATTTTCCCCTCTTCTTCTGGGAAAACTTCAGAAAAGTTTTCACTGCTCATGTAAGGCTTGGAACTGGATAGTCTTACCCCAACAGTTGTAAGGCCCAGGCCAAGGATCAAAGAGCCCCATACCATACACAGGTCTAAGTATTTAAAAGTCATAAAGAAGACTAACTTGCTATTAAACAAAACATGGTCTACCTTCCTACCTTGAGAAACACCTGGAAGGTCAGGTTTCAACTCAGAACGTTCCATTCCTTGGAATTTTTCATGGAGCAAGTTATTATGGAAGCCATTTTCCCAGCCTCAGAGCCCCCTGTGGCCCTCTGTTCCATCCCATGCAGTAAGAGGCCTTTGGGTGTGACAGATGTATACAGCACCCAAGCTCTGTGCAGACCACCTGTGCCCACAAGTCCATTCTGGAGGCACAGTCTCTGGAGGTTGGGCTGCAGGCAGCCTTGGGCTTCTTGGGCAGGAAGTTCCTAAAGTATGGGTTTGGAAATGGGTGGGGCTCCAGAGAGGACATCCCCTGTAACTCCTTGCCCTGGAACAAGGGTGATGCCCTCTGAGACATGGAGGACCAGAGCAGGGAGAGGGTGCTCAGGTCTGAGCGCAACAGGAAGGTTGGATTGAGTGTATAGGGGGCTGTGACATGAAGTGGGGCTGTGGCTCAGAAGTGGGTTCTGGGGGATAGTAGGGGTGCCAAATTATTCAGCTTCCTTAGGGTCCCACAGGATGCTCTGGGGCTGAAAGAGGGCCAGAGCTGCTTCTAGGAACAAGATGAAGAGACCTTTGATCTGGAGTTAAATTGAAGATGTCAGGTAGAGAGGGCTGAGGAGAGAAAGCCAGAAGCCCAGGACACAGGATGGGTCAGGAGCAGCCTCTGCTTAGAGTGTGGGCCACCAGCCCCAGAGCCAGGTGCATGCTGCCTTACTCTGGCAGGTGGAGGCCCACAGTATTCTGAAGAGGGCAGGGTGGGTTTGGGTCAGGCTGTAGGAACAGATCTTCCTGGACACTGTTGAGCTGGGCACGAGCCCCTCGTAGTCATGCCTTTTTTTGGTGGTAGGACTGGTAAGTAGGTTAGAGTAGTGAGCTAAGTTGCAAGCTGCTAAAAGGAGGGAACAGATCCAGACTCCCCCATTTTCACCTCTGCCTCCACAAATGGGATTCCCAGCCCCAAAGTCTGAGTTCCCTCAGATGTTCAGCCTTTGATTTGGTATCAACAACTTAATGTGCCTCTCTTCTACAGAGCCTTCACCTTCCACAGGAAGATGCATGCTCTCATGTCACCCCCCTTCTCATATTTAACTCCCTCTGGCTGGAGGAAGTTTGCTATGACCTTCACCACCATCACCATTCCCCTCACTTCCTCCTTCCTCCTCCCCTCCAGACCCCTTACTGCCCTTACTCCCTCCTTTTGTCTCCCCCACTTAGTCACACACTCTCTTAAACTCCCCTTCAGCTCTTCTCCAGTTCTCTTGGTGATATCTTCCCCTTCCATTCCTCTCTACCCCTCCAGTGCCACCTGCAACCTGCCCCCCTTCATGCCTCTGCA